GGGTCCTCCATGCTGTGCACCTCCAAGTTGTACTCCTCATTATCCATTGAGCATGAGTTGTAGTATCTATTGGTTTTGACCCACCAGCTGCTGCATGGTCTCCAACATTTGCTGGGAATTTGGAGCTAGAGCATTCGAGACAGGTTTGGTAGGTGGAGGAGCAACCTCCTCCTCTCATGGTGGATTGTCTTCATGTTGTTTCATGAATCTGGTAGTGATCGTCATTGATTCAGCAAATGGGATGTTGAGGAGTGAGAATTTTGTCGATTCCAACAGACGTCGCCAAACTAATGATGCACAAAATGGCTTTGCACACCACCTATTAAGTGTGAGTAATAAATGCAGTAACTAAAAGTAAAGAGACGGAGGAGACAAGATTTATAGTGGTTTGGTCAACGTGACCTACGTCCACTCTTCAATAGCTTTAGTCACCGGGTACTTTATTAATTCAAGGGTGTAGGGAGCAAAGAGTACAAGCTTTGAGGGAGAGGAAAAAGTCGTGCTCAGGTAAAAGTGTGATGCCCCCCAAGTGTTGGTGGGACGTGCAATTTATAGTGATCCCCTAACAGATTGAAACTACTTTACAGCAACTAAATGACTATTCTGGTAGAGTTCACGACTTCTTCTCGACGGGCGAGGAGGTTGGGGAGCTCTCCATGAGATGCGGTCAAAGATAAGGTGAGAGTGAACTATTTCCTTCCGCGGTACAGGTAAGGCTCCCGTGCTCTCCCTCTTGATGACGTAGCCAAGCAGAAAGTTTGACGGGTCTTGGACCGTGTTGGGTTTGGTGGGTATTTTATAAGGTTGGGCTCATCAATTGGGATTGAGCTTTCCTCATAAACTGGGTTATTTGGGCTTGAATCACTTACCACTCGTAGCGGAGTTGGTGCCTTGTGAGAACCAAGCCACTATTCGCTCACAAGTACCGTGGTTGAGGGTTAGTATACTACTCCTGAGTTGGATTCGTTACTGTCATTGTGTTGGTATACGCCCTTCCTAAAAGTTGGAGATCCTTGCGAGGATTGGGTGTGTGAGTGTGGACCAGGATATTCTCAATGTGTCGATTCATGCGATGTCATACATCATGCCTGAGATACAAGTACAAATTCATAGATACAAGCTGTGGTTGATTTACATTATGGGTAATGTTACAAACGGTGGATTGTGTGTGGTTCAATGTTAAAATGGTTATTTCTTGGAAATTGGTTTATCTCTTCATTTAATTATTGTTATTGTGTAAACTGGAGATCTATTGAAATGTCCCTGTTTTATTTCAAATGTTATATATGATATTTGCGAAATGAGATCGGCTGTTTTTATATGCTTTCTAAACCTTGTTCAAGTTTGGAGGGATGTTGCTAAAGCTTAGTACTCACCCCTTACAATATTATTCATTCTCCGATGTTAGTTTAGATGGAGAGCTCGGAGTTGACAAGCAAGTGACTTGGGAAGCACAATTAGAGGAAAATGTGGATCCCAAGGGGGTTGTATAGAGTTGATCTTTCTCTATGTTTTAGATTAAGGGATATATTTTGGTACACTAATAGATGTATTTTGTTTATTCCGCTGCAAGATTAAGCTTAATTCTTTTGAGATGTAATTGTCATAGGTTGATATATTATTTTGGGATGTAGATGTCATAATTCGGCATATTTTTTTGAATAATGTTGTAAATATTATGAATGTTGAATGAAATTATCTTAATTATGGACATTATTAGTTGCTCTCGTGTTGTGAATGGTTTTTAGATTGTAATGCCGTTCATTGTGGATTTTGAGGCGTTATATGAACCTTGGACTAGGCTTGACCTGCTTTGTAGTTAATTTGGGCTTACTTAATTAATTAGGCTTGATTCAGTTGAATCTAAACTTATCAAAATCTTCTTTGATTGTTTTTTTTAAAATCTAAACATATTTTATCACAAAGTATGATTTCATACAATCAAATTAGTCTAAGTTATCCATGTAATCACCACCACCCTTATGGGATGGGGAGTCAAAGAGTAGGTTTTATTTTATTTTTTTTAATTTTGACCGTAGAGTGTGAAGGTGGAGATTTCCTTTCATACATTTCGTGACGTGGTGCTAGTTAAATCTATATCTCCTTTAATACATTCTTTTTAATTCACTTCTTGACAGACCATGGTGAATAAAATGCACAATAAATAATTACTTTTTAATAATAAAGTAATAATAAATCATACTAATTATGTTAAATAATAAAGTAAGTCACGATATATTATAAACTCATGATAAATAATTTATTAGTAAAAAAATAATAATAATACATAAATTAGAGGTGATCTATATCTATGAAGCTCAAATTTGTGACTTCAATGAAAGCTTAGAATTTGGAAATAGACAAATAACAGGTCGTTCGTAGGAATTGTGAGCTGTTTCATACGTCTAATGTCCACTTATACTTAGTTTTTTAATGTCAAAAATTAATGATTGGGACTCACAAACTTCAATAGGTGGTTGTCCCTATTCCAAAGTTTTTAGCACTTAGTATGATTAAATGCACCCAACTACCAAGATTTTCATAAATAATTATTAATTCTAAGGTAATCATACGAATATTCTTGTCTTATCCTTTTCTTTTATTTTTTTAGTGTGATCGAATATTCTTACGTTGCTTCTGACTTTTTGGATGTTTTTTCTACTCCATCAAATTGGTTTTTCACTAGTACTAACCAATATGTTTTTCTCTCTCATGTGTTTTGCCTTGATGATTCGATATTTTTGGTATCTATCCTGGGCGTAAAGCAACCACACCAATTTATCCGAACTTGACAATTAAACTCGATCTCAATAACTGGAAGAAGATGAATGATGATTGAGAATTATAAGTGAAGTCTGTGATGCTATCAAATTAAACAATAGGTTATAAATCTAGGTGATTTGATAAAATTTTTAAGTTTTTTTTATTAGCCTTTTTTTCCTTGTTTAGAATTGATCGTTGTATAGTGATAAATATATATACATATATCAATATATTATCTGCTTGACATTTAAAATTATGCACATTATCCCCTTATAGTTATGTACCAAATTGAAATGGTTACTTTGACCATCCAAGTTAATCGAGAGTGTGATCTACACGCTTAAAACATGTTGTGGGCTTTGTTTCTATTATTTTCTTCCAAAAGATATTGTCTAAGTATCTAAAATACCATTTATAATGTACTATGAGTAACTAATGTCTGAAGACACGATACAATGTAAGTGAGAAGTGCTGGTTTTGGGGGAAAAATTCAATGTAAATGATTTTAAAAAGGATGTTGGTGGTCGTTAGATAAATTTATTTGAAACCATCGAATGAACTTATTGAAGTTTGTTCTGTTTTATATTATAAATTATAGATGTTATAATACCCAAATAGATAGGGCATCAATCTTAGATCAAAAAATATGTAAGAAAAACATAAGTGATTTTCAGTCCTGGAAGACTCGACATGTTTGATTGAAATGTATTAGTTTGTTGTCAGACTTTCACAAAGATTTTGGATGGACATAATCATTCACCAATGCAACTTAAAAGGAAAAGACTCTAATTTTGGGACATTGTTTTGCATTCTAATTAGCAAAAAAAAAAAAAATTTAACCCCAAACTTTAATTAAGTCCCGAGGGATGAACTAATCAGCTCTAACTCTCCCGTTAATCATAAATAACTCCCATTTTAGTCCCTTTTAACTGTTTTCATTCATAAAATGTTAATACTACACTTTATTTTTTTCAAATAATAGCTGAATTCTCAAACTCTCTCTCTTTTCTCACTCTAATATTCATCACCCTCTCCCACCCTGTCTCCGTCATATTCAAACGGCTAACGTGTGAAAAGCCTCAGGTATCTCTCATTTAAGTGAGAGATCCAAGGATCAACTCTTGAATAAACGACGGATGAAACTGAACTTTCAAAGGTCTTTCATTGGGAAATAAAATAATCGAGGTACACTTAAACTAATTTAAACATATTTGATTGTTGAATAAAAAAAAAAAAATTTTATTTAAACCTAATTTATTGACTTAATAATGTAACTTTATTGGAATTTGAAATTATTGGGTCAACGTCAAATTCTAATTTTTAATAGAGCTCATATTTAATTCGAATATTATAATGAATTAAATCAATAAATTAAATTAATAAATTAAATCACAATCACAATGGCCTTTTTGTTTCAAGTATAAGATTTAGGTGGTATAAGATTTTATATTCATTTTATTCCGATCCAATGGTATATTATACCCGATTTTAAACTATAATCTCATAATTCCCCTTGTTTGTTTGTTACAAACATTATCTGTGTAATACCTACTTAAAAAGTCAACAATTGCAGTTATAACTCGTAAAAAGACAATTGTAACCTTATAACCTTAAAAAGACAATTGTACATGAGGATAGTTGAGTCTTTTTACTTTATTATACCTCCATCTTATTTGTACCGGACATATGATACCACCGGATAAGTGGTATTCATTAAAATCATCTACAAGACATTATGACTACTTTTCATAGCGGGTCGGTATTACGACCCGAAAAATAATACTGGCTATAAAATGTTAAACAAATAAGGTATAAGATGGATCTCACGTACTATTTTTCTAATATCACCTCTTTATACCATTCCGATCCTTGAAACAAACTAGCCCCAATAGTATTGCCAAAACTAAATGAAAAATGCTATCTTTACCAAAAAAATTTATCACATATTCCACAACAAATGATGTGGCACAATTTTTATCATTGAATATTAATTGTGTCACATCATTTAAAATAATAATTTAATAAAAAAATTTGATAAATATAACATTACTCAAAATAAATAATTCTTTAGAATTAACGCCACGCGTATACGCTGACACAATTTCCTTTTATAGCAGTTTCCTTATCTCGTAACATTTCTGGAAAACAAACATTGCGAAACGTCACCGTAACACAAAGCCAGACAAGTTTGCCTTCCAAAGATCAGAGTGCGGACAAAGGAGCGAGCGAGAGAGAGAGAGAGAGAAGTAAAAGGGCATGATTTAACTAATAACCACCAAAACTTCATTTTAACACATTTTGCCTCCTTCCCCTATATTCCTCCAACCTTTTTGGCTGTTCTTCTCCATCTATTGCCGGCACATTCTCTTTGTTTCTCTCTCTCTAGCTAGCCTCAACATCAGCTAGCTCATATAAAAGCGCAAATACTTTGTCAGAGATCTTTCAAAAAAAAAATTTGGGTGTCGGTTACCCCTATACAATCTACAGTTTGTTCGAAGATCTCGGATAAAAAAACACAGATCTTTGCTGTTTGTTGTGTAGAAATTCAATTTCTGATTTCTGGGTCTTTCTTGGATTTGTGATGGGTTGGAAATATAAGGCTGGTTTGTTTCTAATTGCTGCTGTTGTTGTCATTTGGGTCACCTCTGCAGAAGTTACGCAGGTCACAGTTCTGTTTCGATTTTTCTCTTTACTGTTTATAATTGTGTTGTCAGTTATATGTATATATGTATTCTTATGAACATGTGTGTGGTGGAATTATATATTTGTTATTATTTATGCACGAATTCTGTAGCGTTCCTATTTTGATTGATAGTGAGTTCTTGTTGTTGGGGTTGAAGTTTCAGCATATGTAAATGGATAAAATATGAGTACTTGATTTCGATATGTATCCATTATCTGAAATTGCCTATTGGGTTTTCAAGAAAATTAGAGAATACAAATCAGATTAGCTTATAGTTAAAAAAGATTTTAACTTAGGGAAGTGGTTGTGCTTCATTTGGTTGCTGGAAAATTAAAAAAAGGTACACGTACCACTTGCAATTGTTTACCTGCAAATGGTTGACTTCCATGTGGATATTTTGCGTCTGAATTAGGAAATCTAGCTAAAGGGAAACTATATGATGCTTAAAGTTTGAGGATGGCTAAGGAGATCAGATTGTTTAAATGATTGACCTGTTGTCCTAATGGTGTCAAAGATAAGCTTTAAGTGGTATGTAGTGAGTGAAACCTAATTTCTTGTTTTTGAGGGGCTTTTATTGTGTGTTGTATGTTACACTGTTTGCTCACAAGTGCAGCCTTGGCTCATATGTTTGAAAATAGGTTAACACTTGTCAGTTATCATCTCTTACTTTGACCAATGAACTTGTGGGCCATTTACGTTATGTTTATAAAATCTACACTTGTGATCGCTGGTTTTGCTGCTTACCCTTTTTAGTTCCATCAAGGGATGGACTCGTAGAGAGTACAAACCTAAAGTTTAACATTATTTGCACAGACTAACATTCTCATTTTGCGACTATATGGGAAATGATGGGTTCATAGGCTGTTTTTAGTTGGGAAAGCCTTCCGCATGGCACACTTTTCATTTCTCCCACGATTAATTTTTTATCATTTGTGAAGTTGCGTGAAGAGATTGGTGTTTAATGCATACACCATGCATAAGGTGCATCATCTTGAGAAGTTAAACAGATTATACAGTTTCTATTGAAAGGTGGTGTTATTAGACATTATGTTTTAAGACTAGTAAGTAATTCTGCAGGATTTTCTGTTGTGGTGGTGTCCCTCCTGTCAGTAGTTTCTGTTATAAAAATATTTGTGCATTACTCATGAGCAAAAGTAATCAAGCGTTAACGTGTTATATTATATCTTTTGATCAAATTTTTGTTCCTATGATGTTATTTTCTGTTTTGAACCAAATTATGCATGCGCAAACTATATTTGCAGACGGTTTCTTTGTGTCCTTCTTACAGGGTATTTTCACAGACTACAAGCAGCCATTTGCGGTGACATATCTAGGAGCTTCACTAATGGTAGTTTATCTTCCAGTGGCATTCCTTAAAGATTGGATTTGTAGTTTGTTAAGGAAGCACTCTAGTAAAAGTGGTAAAAATGTGGGAATCAGTAATGCATCCTCTGGTGGACTTAGCTCTCCTTTAAAGTACATTGGGGGACAGAAAATCTTTGAAATTGAAATCCAGGGGTCTTTGAATAGAAAAGACAGTGAACCAGACCTCTCTGCTCAGGATGACGAAAAGCCATTGGTTTCTAAGCAAAAAGATGATGCCATCCCACTGAAACAAGAAAAAGAGCTTACAACGAGGGAAGTTGCAATTTATGGATTTTATATTGCCCCCATTTGGTTTGTTACAGAGGTAAATCTTTGCCTTGTGTGTTTCACTCATATTTAATTTATTCCAGTTTAGTTTGTGAACTATACAACCTTTAATTTGTGCCTAAAACCTGTTAGCCTTTCATTTAAACGTCCATATTGGTAGATATTGGTTGAAAATACAAGATGCTTTCAATTCACCCCCAATTGTGTGCCTTAATTGTGGTATTTGCCTTTGTAGCATTCATTGTATGAACAATGTCCACTCCTTTCAGCATGTCAAGATTTATGTGCATTTAACTTGTTATATTGACCTAAGGTGAGGATTCTGGGAATGATATTTTTCTTGGTAACGAGGAATCTCTCAACCACGTGTCCTTTAAACTCATGGTTGCAACACAAATCTCAAATTGTAGAGGTGTGTAAGAATCCAAAAATTCGACTCCACCTGTTAGACTCCGATTAGAGTCAAGAGTTTAAGATCCTTTTCGAAAAAACCTTGATTCCGACTTCTATTAATAATTTGATATAAATTATATAATATATTATTATAAATTCAAAATCTCTATATTATTTTATCAATCCAGCCGAACCATAAGCGCCCCACCCCACCCCACATTTTGTCTCTCTCACAAGCATGATCTACATGTCTCTAAGTCTCTCTCGCCATATTTGAATCTCTCTCTCTCTCTCTCTCTCTCTCTCTCTCTTGATGATCAACCAATTGGTACCCACCTCCAGTAAGAACCCTAGCTACCAACGTGCAACTATTCAACTCGGAAACTAACCCTAACTATCTGTTTGTGGGTAGAAAAATATTGATTTTTTTGGAGAATTTCACAACCCAAATCTAGCCTAACTTCGAAACTCTGATCCGGCTCCGACAAAGTCGGAGGGCAAAATCCACTTTGATTGCAGTCGGAGTCGAAGGTCAGATATTTGCCTTCTAACTCCGTTAGAATCGAAGCCTAGTCCTTTCGAACATAGTTTACACCCATTGTCTAAGCGCATTGGTTAAATTTAGATTTTATGAGGCCATAGCAAATTAAAGTTAGGGCACGCGAGTTCACACCTCGCTCCTTGTTCGACCATTGAAGTAAACCATGCGGGTTAGGCATAAAGTTTTTACTAGCCAAAGTTACATAAGAAAATTGGACACTACACTTTATTCAATACACGCTTTTTTTGTTTTAGGATCCACAAGAAGAATTTTTGCGTATTCGCTCAAATCAGTCAATAATATCAGAATTTAATAAATCAGCCCAAACCGGCTTACTAATCGGATGCCCTAGTTCCTACAAAATTCTGTTTTCGCAAAAGATATCCAATTGGAGGAATGCTCATTAATAATAGTATCTAACTTCTTAATAGCATTATCAATTAGAAATGAATTTTCCAACACTTTTGAGTCTATTAAAGAATTTAGTTGTACACTTGTACAAAAGCCCAGAAAGTTAGGAGATAATTGGACAATTTGTTTATTTGGATCTTTCCTAGTTGAGACCATACGTAAAAATATCATTGCTAGAAATTGATCCATTAGCCCATAAGCAAGCATTGTGACGAAGTTGCTATTGCTCACCCGAGACGATGGTATGAGGTCGCAAGTCACCCAATACAATCCTCTGGGGTGAACAACAGTCAAGGATTATATGCAAGCAAAATTCTCGACTATGGCTTGTTCAGTCAACTCCCTCCTTTTTTGTGGTCCAAACCCCTACAAGTGAGGTGAACCGTCATAATTAGTGATCAAGTGTAAGCTTCACTTCCGGACAGTATGCCGAGGTACAAGCCGTGAAGCAAAGGACGGGAACGAGAGGAATCAGTGTGCTCCAATTTCTAGCCTTGCACCAACCATCCTATGGGCCATGGACTATTGTGTTGGCAGTTGTGCATACATGGACTGGATACCAAACACAATGCTTTGGTTAAATTTCCTGTGCTTGAATCAATTCCTTGCTATTTGACAGCCATGTGTCTGTCTTAAAAAGAACCCAAGGTGCATGATTGAGGCCTGAGATTTTCACACTGTTTTATGAACTCCTTAAATCTCAAGGCTAGGAAATGAGTATCTGATGGATTTCGGGCTGGAGTGCTGCAGAAGTCATTGGGTTTTAAGTTTGCATGTATTTTGTCTTATCATTATACGCATACACATGCCTATGGCAGATTTGCGTATGAATTCTCATGTTCAACTTTGCTGCAAAATTGCTGATGATATTATCTGTTTGAGATTTAATAAAATGTTTCCGTATGTTGTGGTTCTAATTTTTAAGAATATAGTCTGGATTAAATTTATATGAAGGGACTCGTTCGGAGTAATATTTCATTTTGTTTGTTTCTTTGTTGTGTTGCAGTACTTATCAAATGCTGCGCTTGCACGTACAAGTGTTGCAAGTACGACAGTATTATCTTCAACTTCAGGAATGTTTACACTTTTCGTTGGTGCATGTTTGGGTCAGGATTCCTTAAATGTAGGAAAAATAGTCGCTGTTTTTGTCAGCATGGCTGGTGTTGCCATGACAACTCTAGGGAAAACTTGGGCCACAGATGACTCACAACAAAGTGCTTCTGTGTAAGCTTTCCTTCATCTGTTTTGAAGTTATCCTCTGGTTGTTTATCTATGTCCAATGTGGTATGAACTTTTAAAAACCACGGCTGATAGTTGAACTTTTGTTTTCTCTGAAGAAATGGCAAACGCTCTCTTGCCGGAGATCTCTTTGGCCTTCTCTCTGCTATGTCATATGGACTATTTACTGGTTGAGCATTCTCTCTCTTAATGACTGATTGGTACCTAAAGTGAATAATTTATGGTGTCTAAGCTAATATTCATTTCACAAATATACTTCAGTACTTCTCAAAAAGTTTTCTGGGGAGGAAGGAGAAAGGGCTGATGTGCAAAAGTTGTTTGGATATATCGGATTGTTTACACTTGTGGCACTCTGGTGGCTCGGTAACAGTTATTTGATTTTAAATACTTTGTACTCAATATACTTTATTGATTTTTAAGTTTCACTAAAAATAAATGATACAGAGAATTTGTGTTATGCGTACTGTGTACCATTTCCCTTTTGTTATACACCCACAACTACATTTCTAGAGGTCATTTTTCAGCAGGGCTCCTCTAAATACTGTTGTACAACTTGCAGGAATGATTGAGCTTCTTTCTCTAACTTTTTTTAATTCTTTGATATGAAAAATAGATTATTTCCATTTTGTTTGGCTTCATACATAAGAATTAGATCGATATATATCTTTATGTTCCTTTTGGTTGCACCATTAAGAGCTGTGGGTTATATTACGACTTGTACACAGAATTTGAGATCGATAACAAGCTAATGTAATAAAGTGAAGAGTGATATCATATTAGTTGAATTAGTAAAATAGGTATTAGGGTTCGAAGAAGATAGAAAGAAAAGAAGAACAAGAAGAGAAGGTGAGAAGAATAATCAATCTATTAGCTGTGTTGCCCTACAACCTCTTATTTAGACTAGAAGAATATAATAGGTAATTGCAATATTATCCGACACTAGCTTATTATGACTAACTAATGAAATAAGAACTCTAACTATAATAAAATACTGAATTAGAGGTTAATCTTCCCGATTTCTGGAGGAAGAAAGGTTGTATTTACTATATTTGATGATGTTTGACAGGACTAAGTTACTATTACTCTTGAATAAAATTGGAATTTGACTGGATGTAGTGGAACAGGTCATTATACACGAGTTTTTACTTTTGAGTTTGTCCATAAGAGAAATGTGATATTACAAACGAGGTACTTTGTGACACAATCAGGTCATGGCTTTATTGTAGAGTTGATCATTTCTTTCTTTTACATACTTGCATACTTACATCTACCAAATGACAATGTTTTTAGCAGGAGTCTTTCAGACTCTTGCTATCTGTTAGACCTCATATTTTACTTTGGTAAATCTTCCTTTTTAATCATGATGCACTAAGAAATAATGATGTGAATGGTGTCATGGGTTCTTGTGATTGTAGTTGATGTTTGCCAAAATGACGTGTTTAATGTGTATTTCTAAGTTCCCAATTCCTGTACAGTGTATCTTTAGAACTTTTCATTGTCTTATGGTTGGCTTGAGTTCGTTTTATCTTAGTAGATCTTCACTGGTTACTGAATAGCTGTTTAATTGTTCTTTCAGTTTGGCCGTTGATGGCCTTAGGAATCGAACCCACATTTACGATTCCTCATTCTTTGAAAATGGATGAAGTTGTCATTGCGAATGGATTTATTGGAAGTGTCCTCTCTGACTACTTTTGGTATGTGAAATCTGCTATTTCTAATAAAAATTGTGCATTTGTTATTCTTTTCCTCTTACCTGAATCAGCTCTATTCTTCTTAGGGCATTATGTGTCGTATGGACAACTCCCTTGGTGGCCACCTTGGGCATGTCTCTCACCATTCCACTTGCTATGGTGGCTGATATGTTGCTTCATGGACGCCACTATTCAGCTATTTACATTCTTGGTTCAGTTCAGGTGATGGGTTTTAAACCAAACAAGACAGTTTCTCTAGTGCTGCACTTTTGTAGGTGGTATGTTTTCTAGTAGTACATGGCCTCACCAAAACATTTCCCATTTAGGAAGTTGTCACCATTGGAAGACTTTTATGGCATTAGATGATGAGGGATGAATTGAATAAGCATTTAAAATAAAAAATCCTTGGTTACATTATAGGGTCCTAAGCATGTGATCAACATTTTGTTTACGCCGATTGACAACAGATTTGAAAGCTCTATTGTTTGGTTTCCGTTTTCTATTTTACTACCCACAAAGAGCAAACAATAACAGGAGCATATATACACTCAGGACCCTTAGTTTATTTCCGTTTTCCAATTAAATGCAGACTTTGTTTTTGAACGTTGAAAATAGCCTTTTGCTGCTGTTCCTCGGCATCAAAGTTGAGTGGGAATTAATATCTTCTAATGTTATAGCAACTGGTTACCAGTGATAAGGTTCAGTCTATTTGAACCCTTGAATTGATATGTCAGCAATGATTACCAACTTGATATGTCTATTGTCAATAGGTCTAGCTTGCTATGGTGCAGTGTGCCACTTTTAGTGTTGAACTTTGAATGGATAAGTTAGAATCAGTTTAAGCATTCATGAGAAGTGGATTTTCTTCTTCATTTCTCCCAGGGAGTGCGGGTTTGGTCTTTTTTCCATATGATAGGCATATTTTATATGACCAATCTTGTTGCCATTGAATTAAGAGAAGAAAAGTGTGATTGTTCTAGCCTTACTGTAGGATGTACAATGGCATTGAGGCATTTGGAGATTAGCGAGTTATGTCAGTTACCTCATTTCACTTATAAGAGTGCGATAATGCTTACGATTCACCTTAGTTTCTACTGTGTCAAATATAGGATCGATTCATAATTTTTTGCATTGGCACACCTTGATTTTTTATGGCTCAACATATCGAAATTGTATTGTTTATTGCAGGTGTTTGCAGGATTTGTAATAGCCAATCTTTCTGGTTGGTTCTCAAAACTGTTGGGATTATAGCATTTTACTGAATCCTGTTTGCTTAATTTGGCAATCTTGATTCTTTCTCGGTGAGATACTCTCTGCTTTGTTTTCTCAAAGCCAATGGACCGAAGTGATGTCAAAGAGTTCTTTGTTGGTGGTGATAGAAAGCATAGATTCTCTTTCCTACTTTTTTTTTTAAAAGTATGGACAGTTGTTAGCATGTGCAAAGAAAGTGAAAAAAAAATAGAAGTAGATTCTCTTCCTTATTTTTTTGCCATGTTTGAATGTTGTGATTTTTCCCATTTCCATGAACTTTGGGAAGCTTGAGTCTGTACAAACTTCAACATGTTAATACTAAATGACCTCGTTTATCCTCTTCAATTGATAATGATTCACAATTGCCAAGTATTGGTTGAGGTTCTTTCGAACACTGAATTTCTATTTAATGACTCCGGTGGCAATAACCACCCTTGTGTGTACTGTTAAACTTGGTGTTTCCCAAAAAAATATATTTAAACATTGTCATGAAAGTAGAGTTGGCATGAAAATTTGGCAGCTTCTCCAACAAATCTAAATATTGTCAATGGTCGATTTTACTTTTTATCTGTCTACGTTCAGTTTCGTTATCTAGCATGTGAAACAATGTGTATTCAGTTCAATCAATGACAATATCTAAAATTTTGGAATGAAATAGTCAATTGCACACTGCACTGGTGGCAGGGCCTGTTCTGCCTTTAATTAGTCTTCCAATTTGGTTGGAAAAATTTCAGTTACACCCTTTCTATTTTATCATATTTTTAAAGACACTTTTCTATTATCTAAAACATTATGACACCTTTTCTTATTTTTATTTAAATATCACTAACACCCTAATGTTAAACCATCATTTCTAATTAAAAAAAATTATCCAAAATATCAAAATTATTCCTACATAAACCTCAAACAATATTTTTACATAACATTTGATTAAAATTTAAGCCGATTAAAATTTAATTTTTTTACATACTAAAATTTGAGTTGATTAAAATTTTTTTCTATATATTAAAATTTAAACCGATTAAAATTATATTCGAGCTAATTAAATTTTATTTTTTTTACGTACTAAAATTTGAGCCTATTAAAATTTATTTTTTATGTATCAAAATTCGAGTTGATTTGAGCTCTACTTGAATTGTTAGCGTCAATTAAAATTTTCTTTGAGTCGATTAAAATTTATATTTTTTCTCATTAAAATTTGTGTCAATTAATATTCGATTCAAATTGATTAAAATTTATTTTTTACATATTAAAATTTGAGTCGATTAAAATTTATATTTTTTTATGTATCAAAATTCAGACTGATTAAAATTCAATGATAGTTGATTAAAATATGATTCAAGCAGATTAAAAATAAATTTTAATCTGCTCGAATAAAATTTTAATCGATGCAAATCTTAATACGTAAAAAAATATAATTATTAATCAACTCGAATTTTACTATGTAAAAAATAAATTTTAATTAAGTCAAATCAATTTTAATCATCCCAAATTTTAATACGTAAAATATTTAAAAAATAGAGAGGATCTCATTGAAAATATGTCTATCTAGAGAGAATGTGAATGAAATTTTTTCTAAATATATCATGGACAATTTAGTAAAATTTCATTTTAATTAACACTTCTAATCTTATAAGGGGGTGTTAGTAAAACTTCAAAAAAAAAAAAATATTCTTGAATATATAATAAATTAAAAGGGGTATTACTAATGGTTGGTTTAATGTACGAAACTCTTGCTATCGTAAATTATGAGAGCTTAAATATAAGCAATCTTAGTTTGGTTATAGGTGGAATAATTTTACTGCTGGAATCGGTAGTTGTGTTGGATGGCAAGGAGTGGTTTGCATAATGGAGAAGAAGGATAAATTGTTGGGTGAATTATATTTTGCATTTTAAAGGATATAAAAATTTTAATTTTATACTTTTAAAGGTTAATTTTTTTACGTTATTGTAATGTGATCCTTCTGTTAGTTTCTATTACTTATTTCATCAACTTTGATCGAGTGCGTTTTGACTGAATAAGTAACAAAAAATAATCGAATAGTCACATTGTAACACTTTTAATGCATTGAGGGTACAGTATAAAAAATCTCGTCTTTAAAGGTATAAAATAAAAAAATTTAAATCTTTCGAGAACTTGTTTGGATGAATTTTTTAGAAGGGTTTAGATTGGTTTTCCCAAACTCTTTCAATCTCAAACTCCTCTTTACAAAGATGAGATTCAAAATTGAATTCAGTCCATACTCATGTTTTATATACTCACAGATATATCACTGTTATGATAATATATTTATATATAAATTACTATTTTGTCCCTTTATCAATCGAATCTAAACTCATGCTTGTTTATGTATGGGGTATAATTGTTTTTTGTATCTTGAACCTGTTAACCTTCATCCAAAATTCACCCCCTTCCTGTGGGTTTGATGAAACTCATGATCTGAGGTTTAAGGTCCAAATTAATAGCTGGCTGGGCTTGGTAACCCGGCTTCAAATTTTTGGCCACATATAAATTTTGTGTCATTTAAACTATTTTTCTCTAACCCATATTCCAAAGCCTCTCAAATCTCACTTACCAAACAGCCCGAAATACAAGGTGAGATTCCCCCTTCCCTCTCCAAAAAAAGAAAAAATTAACCATGACTCATGGTAGGAGGGGGTTCGACTCCTCTACGGTAGGCAGGAAACCACATGACATGCGGTTAAGTGGAACAACACCAATTGGTTCTGTATATATATATTTTTTAATAGTCCATACCAAAAACGATGTCGTTTTTGGTCCTTAAAATCTCTTCTTCTTCGTTAGACTTAAACAGCAAGTCTCAGTTCAAAATAAGAAAAAAAAAAAAAAAAACAAAGCCTTGTGACATCAACAGATCTAGGCGACTTCAGGTAAGTCCAACGACCTTAGGTTGCTTCGACTTCAGGCAACGTATGTTCTCTCTCTGTTAACAATTGTCATATATATTGTCTCAGAACTCAAATTGAATTCCATGAGCATTTGATGTTGAAATTAGAGATGCTTTCACGAAAAAAATTGGTGATAAATTTGACATTTTTCACATTATAGTTGGAGCACACAAGCTAATTGCTCCCCTCCCCTCCCTTTCTCATTTCTCTCTGTTTCCCTCTTTCTCCTTCAAACAAATCTCTCACACACGCCTCCCCTCCCTCTACTTGTTTGAGAAAATGCCAGAAAGGATTTGGTAAATTTAATTGCTGATGATAGGTACCTAAAGAAACAAGGCAATGAATGTGAATGTGGAAAGTATTATTCACTTTAGAAACAAGGCAAGACTTTGCTATTGTTTTTTTTTTTGAACCGAGGCTTTGCTGTTGAAGTCTAACAAAGAAGAAGGAATTTCAAGGCAAAAATTCAAGGGACAAAAAACGACGTCATTTTTGGTATGGATTGTTAAAAAAAAAATTTACATAAAGCACCAAACGGTGCCGTTCCACTTAACCGCATGTCATGCGGTTTCCTGCCTACCGTAGAGGAGCCGAACTCTGGTTGGAGGTGCGGATGAAGTGGTTATGCAAACTAGAGGAGAGTATAGTAAAATTTCAGAAAAATACTGGGGATCACCTTTAAAATAAACTAGTCTACAGGGGCCATGTATGAAATTTACACAAAAGGAAGAAATCCTGTATTTGGCTGAGTGCGGAAACTTCCTCTACGGTAGCACTCGTAGTAGACCAGTTGGGTCCAGAAAAGTACAACTAATAACGAGTTCTACGAGGAACGCACTTCTCCGAGTTCGACGATTCGAATCCTCTCTCTCTCTCTCTCTCTTTCTGCTTCCATGGCATTGACACAAAGTTGCACGAAGATCAATCTCGCACTTTTCATACTTGTTCAGTTCTTCTTCCTCTTTTCTTTCCTCCCTTCGGCACTCGCCATAGCACCTGGGTAGGTATTTCACGTATCTATATAGATACGCATATATTGTGTACATATGTCCTAATTTGTTCTGTTTGATTTTGGCATATTTGATTTGTTAATGCCTTTTCAGATATTTATCGATTTTTTTTGCAGGATTAGTGATGGGTATACCATAAACGGCCGGGTGAAGATTCCAGGTATTATGTTCTTCGCTGGTGCTCTTTTTAATTTGTTTTGAACTTTTTTAGTTTGGTTATTGACGGGCTGATTTTAATGTGATTGTATGCACGAATCTGTGATTCAAACTGCTAGCATTATGCTATTTGATTATCCTATCTGTACACGTTATTTAGGTATAGCATTTGTTCTAGTCATATTTACTAGTTAATGAAGCTTAGTTGAACCCAAGGGATAGAACCAGGAGCTTTGGAGCAGAGGTCTTGGGTTGGTTTATACCCCAAAGCTATTTCCCTCAAACACCCCCGAGAGGGGGGTTTTTTTTTTTTTTTGGGGGGGGGGGGGGGGGGGAGAAGAGGATTGGAGGGTACCTAAGGCCTCTAAGAGGCCTATATAACTCTCTGTAAGAAAAAAAAAAAAAATTATGGATCCTAGTCAGCTGCCATCCTAGAAATCTGAGAATTTAGAACCACTGATAAGTATATGTTGTCGTGTTGGTATGTGATGTGCATATGTTCATTCAATTAGAGTGGGGCTTGTCACTTGTGCTTGGTGTCACCGGCATTCAATTGAAGTGGCAGAGGGAACATCAGTGAGTGATGGGGACTTGCTGAGATTGTGTGTTTTTCAAAGGGTGATGGCTGGCAGTGTGTGAGTAGACACTTGCGCAAGGTGCTTTTGTAGAAGTGGTTTTCCCAGTCCTTCAATTTTTGTTGCTTCCAAGGAATTGTAGTTCTACATCATTTTGGCTTGCTACCATAAAGCTGGTATTGGCGGCTGTTTTAGGATTATTTGTGGTGAGGATCCTCCATAAGCAAGACCAAGGATTAAAATTTCATTTCGACGCATAATTTCAGTTGACTCAGAAATGGGGTGGAAGGAAATAAAAACAAAGGAAAAAAATTGAAAAATTTAGGGTTCGTTTGGTAACGTTTTTATTTTTGCGTCTTCAAAAAACAAAAAATAGAGATAATTTTTTGCCTCTATTTTGTGGTAAACACTAAAACAGAAAACATGTTTGGTAGTCATTTTGTCTAGCAAATTATGAGAATAAAAACAGAAAACATATTTGGTTACTATCTCAAATTTTATCCTAAATATGCTTTATAATACCTCATTATTTATTTTCAAACAAATCAACACTTTATTTCATGAAAAATGATTTACAACCATGAATTAAAGACCTTCAACAAAGTACTAATTTTGCACAACCAGATTTCATTTTTCATTAGCCATGAAATTTGCCTCCCTATACACATGCCCAAGCTAAT